GGTCGGGAGCCCAAACGATAAGACTGGGCGTTAAAGCCCACGATTTGTGCTAAGAAATTTGAAAGGGAAATGTTTGTACCCGGCGGACCGGCCGAGTGTTGGGCCGGTCGCGCGCGGGACGTTTGATCGGTGGAGATCAGAGGCTCGTCCCTCAGCCCCACGTATGTTTTTCTTGGGTCCACCTAACCTGTACGCCGACACGTTCCCAAGCCTTATCTTCCCGACCGCCCTTATCTTCTTAGCCACACACTCATGCGTCTTCTACCTCCGTACATCATACCTCTGCACATCATTACGCCATGGATTCATCACCCCGTGGCGCGTGTTTCTAGCTGAAGGGAGCGGCGAGGCCGGCCGGTAGCACCGCAACCCACGCTGCTGTCCGACAAGCTACAAGCGGGTCGCGAGGGTGCTACAACCGCTGGCCACAGCTGCTACAACCACCGGCTATGGATGATGCAGCGACGGTGGCGAGATGGCATGATTGTGCAACCGGAGATCGCGTCGCTGTTGCCGGCAAGGACGCAAACCTCAAGTGGGAGCTGCAACCGGCCTGCGCTGGGCTGGAAGCCTGCAACCAGTGTAGTGCGGGCCGTGAACCGGTGACGTGCAAAGTTGCGGCGGCGGTGGCGGCTGGGCGGCGGTGGTTGCTTTCATGACCAAGTCCGGCGACGAGGGTTGCTGCAACCGTGGGGCGGAGGTGCTTGAACCTTCGTGCGGAGGTGCTACGACCGCCAGTCCGAAATGCTGGAATCGTTAATGGTGTTTTATACCCAGGCGGCACCGGTGCTACAACCGTTGTTTTTTCTTGCTCGCACCGCCCGCGATTTTTGCTGGAACCGGCTATCGATTTTGTTGGGGATCCTCAATGGGTGGTGCTTTTTGCTGGAACTAGCGTTTGATTTTGCTGGAAACGGCGACTGATTTTGCTGCGATTTGGGCCACACCAAAGCGATAATTTTGCTGGAACCCACCAACAGAGAATGTTAGAGCATCTCCAACAGCCGCGCTATGCGCCGCGCGTAAAAACCCTGTTTGTCGCGCGCGCTTCGGCTGGTTTAGCGCGGCCGTCAGCGCTGGCTCCAGCAGCCGCGCTATAATGCAGCGCACGCGTGCCGCTCCAGCAGCGCGCAAAAATACAGCGCGCGACTCGCCGGGCATGGCATTTTAGCCACAAAATGAGTTTGAAACAATCATCAAAATGCAATGAACATGTGAAATTTGTCACAAACAAGTTGACGAAAATAAAAGTTCATGCCCACAAGTTCATCCAACCAAGTTAAAAATGCAAACTAAAGTTCAAGACATAAATGAAAGACACATCAAACATTTCTTTGTCTTCGTCCTCATCTTCCGAAGACGATTCTTCCGCCTCCGAAGATGAATCTTCCTCCCTATCCTCATCACACATCGCATCACGTGAAGCTCCGACGGTGTTGGCAAGATCTTCAACGGCATCTTCATGGGAATGTGTGTGAGGACGCACATCGAAAGACATTCCACCCATGGCCGGAGGTGCACCCATGCCTCCCATAAGAGAAGCGAAACTCATGCCTCCCATGGCGGCCATAGCGTCAGAGGGTGCTCCAAAGCCACCCATGCCTCCCATGGCGGCCGGAGGTGCACCCATGCCTCCCATGGCGCCCAAGCCACCCATGCCCCCCATGGCGCCAAGGCCGCCGCCACCCATGCCGCCAAGGCCACCGCCACCCAAGCCGTCGAGGCCACCGCCACCCATGCCGCCAAGGCCGTTGTCACCCATTGTGCGAATCATGGCTCTTTTTGGATCAAGACTTCTCGTTATAGCGCCGTGTGCCGCCACGACCCAATGTGCCGCGCGCTGTAGCAGGCGCCCGAAATATACTGCGCGGGATAGTGCTTCCGACCGCGCGCCCAACTCGTTATAGCGCGCGCCGTTTTTGCGCGCCCGCTGGAGCGACCCGCCGCGTTGCGCGCGCGCTAAAACGGTCTAATTTGCGGCCCGGCGCTCGTATAGCGCGGCTGTTGGAGATGTTCTTACAACCGATGATTTTTTTGCTGGATCCGCGATGAGGAGTGGTTTCTTTTGTAGCGACTAGCTATGATTTTTGCTTTGACCATTGAAGGATTTTTGCTGTGACGTCCCTGCTAATGATGGAGGCGACGGGGAAACGAGGTGATGTGGCCGGCATCCACAGGTGCTGGAGGTGACACACGGCCTCGCTGCCACGAGCAGCCTCATCGGGGAAGGCTGTGGCGAGGCGCCTGTCGTCGCCCCACGTGCTGCAACGGGACGCGGGCAGGGTTGCGACAGCACCAGAGACCAGACTCACGCGCCACGACGACCGCGACTTGCCGCTGCACGCCGCCGTGACCAGCGCTACATCGTTGGGTCCTGGGGCTATGGGCCTATGGTTAGGGGGAAGAGCGACCTGCAAATCAGCAGAGGGCAGTGCGAGCAGAGAACAACGAGAAAAGAAACGTGCGAGGAAGAAGACGTGGGGGAGAAAGATCAGACGGTTGCATGTAATTGAATCGTGGGGCTAGCACGTGACCGACCGAAAGCTAGCGCCGGCGGACCAGCGCCTAGCATTGGCCAAGGCCACTAATAGGTGCTGGCTCCCGCCCCAGCCGCCTGATTCAACGACTTTTAGCCGCTGGATAAGATTCCCTTTCTGTATCGACTAATAGGTGCTTCTGGAGTGTGGTGAGTGCGAACTGACGAGAGCGAATCAAATGCCACCGACCCCGCTAAGGGCGAGAACCGTTGGCCTTGCCGTAGAATAACTTGCTGCCCTCGCCGTCAGGTATCAGCTAGCCGACCTTGCCGCCGGCCGAACTTGCCGCCAGATCAGCACGGCAGTTGTGCCCCTTGCAGAAAAAAAAACCTCGCGCAGCACGCCCTCGCCCCCAGCTGTCGTTGCAGCATACCCAACTCCGGCCATCACCATTGCCAGCAGCTGGCTGTCCCCCCCTTTCCAGTACCATGCGCTCCCCTCACAGCCACGGTTGTAGCACTCTGCAGTCGGCTCTAGCAAAAAAACATGGTTGTAACATCAGCACAAACGGTTCCAGCATCTCAGGCCATCGATGTATCATGTTGCAACTTGCTCCAGCAAAAATCGATGCAGGATGTAGCAAATTACATTGCTGGATGCAGCTCCATGATACGTCTGCAACGTATCTACTTTTCAAAACAATTTTGCCCTTGTTTTGGACTCTAACTTGCATGATTTGAATGGAACTAACCCGGATTGACACTGTTTTTAGCAGAACTGCCATGGTGTTATTTTTGTGCAGAAATAAAAGTTCTTGGAATTACCTGAAAATCCACGGAGACATGTTTTGGAATTAACAAAAAATATTGGCGAAAGAATCAGCATCAGGGGGCCCACACCCTGTCCACGAGGGTGCAGGACGCCCCCCCTAGGGCACCCCCTGCTTCGTGGGCCCCCTGGGACCCCACCGACCTCAACCCCAACTCCATATATTCACTTTCGGGGAGAAAAAAATCAGAGAGAAGGATTCATCACGTTTTACGATACGGGGCCGCCGCCAAGCCCTAATCATCCTCGGGAGGGCTGATCTGGAGTCCGTTCGGGGCTCCGGAGAGGGGAATCCGTCGCCATCGTCATCATCAACCATCCTCCATCACCAATTTCATGATGCTCACCGCCATGCGTGAGTAATTAATCTCATCGTAGGCTTGCTGGACGGTGATGGGTTGGATGAGATTTACCATGTAATCGAGTTAGTTTTGTTAGGGTTTGATCCCTATGTAACACCCTCGATGTGACTATAGCTCCCACGTGTCGAGGCACGACTTAGAGACATAATCGCATTGAAGGCATATGTCGCAAGTGAGGTAATCATCACACAACCCATGTAATACATAAGGGAAAGAGATACATAGTTGGCTTACAATCGCCACTTCACACCATTACATAAATAAACATTACATCAATCAAATACACTCATGGTCCGACTATGGAACCAAAATAAAAGAAGAACCCCAAATGCGACAAAGGTCCCCGATCGACCCCAACTGGGCTCCACTACTGATCAACTAGAACGAAACAACACAAAGGACAAGGTCGTCATCGAGCTCCTCCTGAGCTTGGTTGCGTCATCTGCACGGACTCATCGGCACCTACAAGCTGGTTTTGGAAGTATCTGTGAGCCACAGGGACTCGGCAATCTCACACCCTCGCGATCAAGACTATTTAAGCTTATGGGTAAGGTAAAGGTATGAGGTGGAGCTGCAGCAAGCGACTAGCATATATGGTGGCTAACATACGCAACTGAGAGCGAGAAGAGAAGGCAAAGCACGGTCGAT